TGATGCGATCTGATGTTCCTTTGTCGTCACAAGTTCGATGAAACAGGTGGATAAAATCTATTGTATGAGATTAATGAGGGTTGGAAGCAAAGTTCTGAACGAATGACAGGGAGATGAGAAAGAAAGAGAGCTCAAGGCAGAAGAGCTAATGCAAGAACGACTCAAATGTCCACGTTAATCAGTACTAAAGCGACTGCCTGCTTGCGTAGACCGAGAGCGGCCTGAGGAGCCAAAACGTGGGCTGCCCGCCTCTTGGCATCCTTACCTGATGGGACGGGGAAGTCCATCTATCTCGAACATCGTCATAACCTCACAGCTCCCTTATCATTGTATTTCCCCATCCCTTCTTTGAAAGTGAAGACGTCGGCGTGAGCTTCATTAGAATTCCGGACGCATAGACAGGCATCATGTCGTCGACGTCTCTGGAGCCTCCGACTTACTTGAGCTCCTTGCAGAACAACATTCGAGCTCGCCCGATTCCGTGGGAGGGAGCTGTCCGAGCTGGCAACATCACCGACGACCATCTTAAGAAGATCAAGGCCGTGGACAAGGTCCGCAAAGAGCAACGCCGCCAAACCGTTGAAGGCGATCTTCAGGGCTACGTTGGACTGCTCGCTGGCAATGCCGATAGCAAGAGTGTCTTGGAATCGGCTTCCAAGAGGACCGATATTGTGCAGTACATTCTAGTGCTGGCGGCGGACTTGATTAACGGTAATGATAAATTCGCACTCTACATAGAATTATATGCGCTGACAAGTGTTTCTACAACTTAGATGTCCCCTCGCTTTCTTCCGCATTGATCGCACATCCTAGTCCATACAAGCCCTTCCTCCCGCTCCTGCGTCATACCACCAACGCCGAAGATCCTATTCCGCTGCTCACCTCCACATTTTTGACTAGACTTGTCTCTCACAGCCTTGCTGTTTCAACCAAGGCAGCCGTTCGCGATGAAGAAGCGCTTCCTCAGTTATACACCTATCTTTCCACCCTAACTCAGAACCCCGACAGCGGGCTGCAGGATATCGGAGTTCAGGGGCTGTCGGCGTTGTTGCGAAATTCAAGGTCGCGCGAAATGTTCTGGAATCAGAGGAAGGAGACCATCGATCCCTTGATCGAGATTCTTCGTACTGCTGCGGGAACAAAAGACAGTAGTAGTGCGAGCACTCTAGCGGGCAGTTCGAGAGCCATTGAGCCCGGCCTCTCTGGTGGTGTCGGCCTGCAGCTCTTGTACCGCGTTCTCTTGGTGCTCTGGCAGCTGAGCTTTGAAGGGAGTCTTGTTGGAGAAGGCCTACAGTCGTACGTTCACCATCTAACATACCGAAGCATGGAAGAAGTCCGCGGCTAATAATCGATTTTCAGGGATTATGAGTTTGTCCAATTATATACCCAACTTCTGCGTCTATCCCCGAAAGAGAAGACGACTCGTCTGCTTCTCGCAACTTTGAACAACCTCCTTTCCAGCAACCGCACGACTTTACTTCCAGTTGCTGTATTTGTCCGCCTTCCTGCTCTGCTATCCAACCTCTCTGGTCGCCACTTGACCGACCCAGACCTGCTGGAAGATTTGAACGCATTGTCTGAGATGCTAGATGAATACACCAAGACCCAAACGACATTTGATCAGTACGCCGCCGAGTTACAGTCAGGCCACCTTCGCTGGTCCCCGCCGCATCGCAACCCGACATTCTGGGCCGAAAATGCCCGTCGAATCCTGGATGAAGGGAACGGCGCGCTTCCCAAAAAGCTTGCCGAGATTCTGTCCAAGAGCTGGGATAACGACAAGCAGGTTCTTGCAATTGGATGCAACGATGTCGGTCAGCTGGTGAAAGAAATGCCGGAGAGACGCGGTCAGCTGGAGAAGCTGGGACTTAAGACTCGAGTTATGGAGCTAATGGCTGACAAGGACGAGTCTGTGCGGTGGGAGAGCTTGCGAGCCGTCGGAGAATGGCTCCGTTACACTTTCGAGGGCTGATCGTGTATTGGATATGGTTTAATACTACAAATATTCCCGACGTTTGAGGTTCGACTTGCCGGCGATGTAGGTATAGTACCGATGACATCTATTTTTCTTGTCTCTTCGTTTTCTGAGATGAACATACCTTTTCTATTCTGGATGCTTCCGCAGCGCACTTTCTCTCTTTCTGTTCAGCTGTTCGACTGTTCAACTACTCAACTGTTCAATTGTTCAACTGCTCAAACATCTTCCCTTTGTAGCAGTGCGGATTGGTTTTGATAGATATATCCTGTTTGCTCGCATTATCCAGGCTCCAATATTATACACAGGCTCCAAAGATCTACGCAGTCTTAGATCGTCTTAAATTTGAGGCACCCATTAGTATCAACTCTAGCCCAGGCAAAGTTTGAGAAGTTCCACTTTCATCGTATTTCGCACCCCACATTGATCAGAATATGTTGTGCCCGGGCCATCACACTTCAGCAGGAAAGAAGGGGCTATAGATAGGAGAGGTGACGCCCAACAAGCTGTTCTGAAATCGTATAATATCAAAATGCTCAGATTTTGTGCTCATTAAGACGATCGATAGCCTCCAGGTGGACCTTGTGTGGATGATCGGCCGCTAAGGGATTCCTATAGAAACCTACTGTACACTGTCTAAGTCAGAGGCTTAGAGTTGAGACTATCTCACCGGGCCCGGCGTTTGCGTTATCACTCGATCAAGTCCCACAAGAGACCCTGACTCCTGACCATTGTTGATATCGTCGTATTTGCTTTGAATCTCTCTCTGTGTTCTGTTAAAACATCTGTTGAACTTGATACGATTTTCTGATACGAGTATATGTCGATATACGCATCCACTCCACGCTGATTTACAGACGAGAACCCCCACTACCTACTGCAGATCATTCCGAGGCTACCCCGGGAAACGGAAGAAAACGCAACTTTTGAGAACACAGTCAAAAAATCCAGCAGCCTCGCCCAAATCCATGTCCAGGTCATTTAATGGGTGTAAACGGTGCAAAGCCAGACGACAGAAATGTGACGAACAGCGACCTGGCTGCGGTCGTTGTCAGGCGGCCGGGGTGCAGTGTCGATATGCGATGCAGCTACAGTGGGGAGGACGGACTTTTTCGCGGTCGAGGTTAGGGGCCTGTATGAGCAATGGAGGGTTGCAGAAGCTTGGTATGTCTTCAAATGACCTTTGCTTTCCTCTGCTTTTGGTTTCTTTGGCTGATCGTTTGTTTTCCTACAGAATACTCACCCGGTGAATTTATCTACACAACTAAATCCCCTTCCGCTACGTCGAGTACAGCGCTCTCTCCACGTGTTGACCCTTTCGTTTCTCTGTCTCCTGATCAAAAGTCGTTGCTTCATCATTTTATCCAGGATGCGTCGCAAATTACAGCATGTCACTCGAGCATGCAAAAGGATATCTGCAAGATGCTCGTCCCAATGGCTCTCCAGACCCCGTCGTTATTGTACGCAACAATGGCGCTGTCAGCGATCCACCTACAAGCACTAAACAATCAGTCGGAGAACGTCAAGTCCGCCCCGCATATTGCCCGGTTAATGGCCCTCAGTCTCGAGCACTTTCGGAATGAACTACAGACCCCAAGCACCAAGGGATCGGATGCGCTGCTCGCAACGGCACGCACGCTCTGTTTAGCGGAGATCCATTCCGGAGCAATCCATCCGAACTCGTGGCGAGCCCATGTTGAGGGCGCAAAGGCTCTTATGCTTGCTACGAATCACAAGGGGAGTGAATCACCGGGTTCGTCGCAGGGTTTCCGTCGGTACTTGGACCGGTGGTACCAGTCGATTGTGTCCCTGACAGCACTGACGGGGAATGGGCCGCCCATCGAAGAGCCTATGGAACAGTCAGCCTCCGAGATCATCCGCCAACAAGACGCGCCGGACTATCTCGACGACTACTGGGGCTTCACAGTAAACCTGTCGGCCATCTTCCGTGCGATCGGGGCGGCAGCCTGGCGGAGTCAGCAAGACACACAAAGAACAGGGTTGATATCAGACGGCACCGATGCGGCCAGTACACAGGAGGCGGCCGTTCTCGAGTCCTCTGTGCGGACGCTCATGGCCCGGGACGCAAGTACGCAGCCTACATTCTACCCAGGGGTCGCTGAGGGCCTCTCGACCGAATGCGTGCGGGAATTCGTGCTCTGCAACGAGGCGTTCCAGCACAGTGCGCTCATCCAAATCAACCGACGACTCCGTAGACTGCCCGCCTCCTCTCCCCTCGTACAGCACTCCGTCAAGCGGATTCTGGAGTGCACGGCGCAGATTGGGCCGTCTACGGGGCTGAGTCCGTGGACGATGCTCACAACTCCGTTGTTCATTGCGGGCTGTGAGGCGCAGGGTGAGGATCGCGAGAGGGTCCGGCAGTTGCTTTCGTTGCTGCACGATACCATCCGTGTGCCGAATGTGCTTCAGTCTTTGAAGTTCCTGGAACAGTACTGGGCTAACCAGTTGAATGAAAATGAGGGCTGGAGTCAATATCTAGGTAAGTTGCTTCTTTCTTGATATGTGAGTGGAGCTAACAAGGCCCAGATCGAATGAGATTCGATTTCATCCCGTATTGAGTGCGAGGGTGTGTCATTATATGCGTTTATGACAAGCGAGAAGTGAGCGTTTTTTTCAGTGTTTAGTTTTTCTGCATTATGTACAGAACGTCTTAGGCGTCTTGGCCTCGGGCGACAGTCTTTTGGGAAGTTCAGATATCCCGGCGTTGGTGGATGCTCCAGTTTATCTTGTGCTTGAATTGATATGTATTCTACCCATATACCTTCTTAAACCATTGACGGAATGTGACAACAAACTGTGTTACCCTTTAGTCATCGACTGGAACCAACCTTTCGTATTCTCTGCCCACGAGATGCTGAAAGTCCAGGTTGGAATTCTTTACCAACGGCATCTCATCACTGTTAGTAGCTGATTTCCTTCAGTTCCTAAGAAATTACCCCCAGCGGGAGGATATCCCCCGGACCGGGCCCAGGTCTAACCGACCTGCCATAAAACATCCACCGTGTCAGTGAGATTGACTGAGTTCAATGTCTTGCACGGCTTTCTGGGCGTCTTCGATCTGCTTTGCTGCTATAGCTGCGAGGTCTGGGGCGTCCGCAATCGCCTTGGCTACAGCGGCTGCGGCTGGGCTGGCTTTCGGTTTGGCGGGTGTGCGTTTGGTGCCCATTCCGTCGTTCGCGGGTAAACGTGTCTCAGGAGTAGGATGGTTTGTGGTCGTGCGTGGTGCGGTGTTGTCGTCTATCATGGATAGCCGTTGTTCGTCGGGAATAAACGTGGCCATACCGGTGGGTATGCCTAGTGGGATCGGGAAGATATGCTTCTTCGTCTTTAGCCAGAGGCAACACGGTAACGATGAATAGTTATCCGCACCTCATGTAGTAATAATAGCTGACTGTGTGCCATTGCATACTGAGAAGGCGCCGGATTGGAGTCGCTACGGATGATCGCTAAAAGCCGTCTCGCAGTGGCATCATCCTCACTGCTGCAGCACACAGAATGAGAGCAGGATATGGAAGGATCACTGCTCGAACCATATCAGTAGTCGTCCTTGAGGCTTCCTGCGGGGCTTTGGCTCTGCCGAAGAGTTGCACGGTGAGCATGCTATCTATATGCTCTCTGTCCTGAACAGTTCTTCCCAGGTAGTCTGATAGTTAGCATGTGTTGCTTCCCGTCTGCTGGTGGAAAGCCCAAGACGTAAAGGGTGCTTTAGCCAATTGCCTTTGATCCTTTCAAGACAGCAGACATGCTTGACTGGCTACGACTCTTTCGCACCCTCCGCGCAGTAGCACTGTCTGTGTAGATGATGCAAACAGGAGAGATGAAGCTCAAGCTGGTAGCTGTGTTTAGAAGTCAATATTGATTCATGCTTCTCTAGCTATTCATCTCTAAGTTAGGATAAGCTTTACTAGAATGTACTTGATGAACTGTTCCAGGATATAGATAGTAGAAGAATGTGATGTGTCACAGTGTCACATTCTCTCTACGAGGAAGCCTAGGTCATATTGCATAAAGTCCGCATTGGCCGCAGTTTAATTTAATGGCATTTGCATTCTTCAAGACTTAAGACCAAGATTGATAGAAATCATTTAGTTACGTTCTGTTGATGCTGCGTCCTCAACTATAAGTACTAGTTAACTACCTACCCGAATATGTCAGCAAGTGTCGTATGGACGGAATACCTGAGTCTGATTGAAAGTCCCTTGCAGATTGATTGTCTTCCGTTACTTTATTTAGGACAGTCAAGCATTGACTTTTTGGTCAATAGTCGTACAATAAATCAAGCCACTGCTGACCCAATCCAGGATTCCTTGGATATATTTAGCGATGTATCATACCATCAGGCATCATATGAAGTATCAAAAACTTGGAAACTTCTTCGAATAACTCCGTAGTATGAGACAAAGGAGCCTGGAAACCTGGATCTTTGTGGCGCGTGGCAGCAATAGTTCGTAGAATGGCCGTCGACAGTTCTGCCGCTGTTTCATATTTATTTGTTTCTATATGGCATCTATGCCGAATGCGGATTGCAAAATGCTTCCCATCACTTGGATACTCAAGGAACACTTGCTAACGGCTATGTGTCGTTAAGGTTATGCGCACAAGGATGACTACCGAGTGGGCGCTTAATGCGGCCCTTGGATGGAGAGATTCTCCTATACTTGAGATTGTCGAGGCGCTCATGCTTCAATCTGATTTGATTCGCAGGAGATCCCGTGCTTATGTTCATCACTGGTCACTGGTACTTCTCAGAGATAGACGCTGAATGGCAATGAGTCTTTATTACTAGCTGATAGGGATGATTTTCCCGTTCTCAGGCTGGATTACCCCTGAAAGTGCTGGGGCTCCACAAATTGCCTTGGCTTGGTCTGCCGATCGCCCAGTCTAGTCTACTAGAGTCGGCCTTGATGAGCCGTGCGAGGGTGTCTTGGAGATGAGAGGTTACACTCTGTATGCTCAATTGAGATTAACAGTAGATCAGAATGATCAGCCTGTAGATAGATAGTAATCAAGAATTCAGTGAAAGACCGGTGGTGGAATTGCTGTGTCCAGTGTTCTCGACTCGTGACACCTCAAAGAAAGCAATCGAAAGAAAAGTAGACATCTCCCTTTGACACGATGCAAGTATCATCATTCGCTGTGCAATTATAGTACGTCGCGTAGTAGTCTTCAAACAGCCGCGAATCGAGATGCTGATATCAAACAGTCCTTAGGAAATGCTCCACCTCGTCTGTGCAGCGCCAAAAAACCCACGAGAATCAGCCAACCAGATTGCTCCAAGAACAGTTTTGATAGAGAATTTGGTTTTCTTAGTTTTCTTTAGTCTGGCTGCATACCATCTTAATACTACCCAGAGACCGGAGTACTCGAACTAGTTACCACTGTCTAGTGTCTAGACTTAATATTATTCTTCTCCTTAATTCTCCCGCTGCAGGTCCCCTTGTCCTCTCTTTTCTTTGAACCCCCCTTGGTTCTTCACTGCCTTTCTCAGTCTCCTAATCACCCTAACTTCCTTTCCCCTGGCACTGACCCCGATTGTTACTATATCCGGTCAATTCTCCTTCATCCAGATATCCACTAGTGGCCGCGTGTCATCCTCAAACCGCCCCGTGCTCTCTCAATCCCTCCTGAGAATTGCCCGTCATCAACATGAGGGTGCGTCGATCGAGAGAGCTACTAGCCGTCTAGTCTAATCTTCACCTTCATTGACCGTCGTTTCCGCCCCCCCTTCCCTCGTCCCGTTCCTGTCCTGATCGACTTTCCCTCGTTCTTCTCCTCTCCCCAAGATGCCCGTGGGTTGGCCTTCTCCGCCTGCAGCTGGCACCTTGACCACTTTAGTATCCTCTTCCCCCGACGCCTATCATCCACACTCCCAAGACAGTCGGAGCGCCAGTAGCTCCAGTTGGCCAAGCCCTCCTCCCTCTGCTTCTTCTTTTCCTACTCCTCCTTCTACTTCTCATCACCATCATCACCCTTCTATCCCCACCGGTACTGCTTCTCCGGTGCGCAGAAAGCCCCTCCCCCAGCAGCATGCTGCTTCTTCCCCTGTGAACTCTTCCCGCCAATCTAGGCCTTCTTTGACGTCTCCCGTCACGCCAATTGATACCACTACCACTACTCCTATTACGGGAATCACAGCTGGTGCGCCTACTTCTTCTCCTGCGGCCAAGACATCTACCGACCCTCCACTGGAGGCCACCAAAGCCCTATCCTCTCCTCCCGTCATCAGAAGCAACCTTCCTGCTTCTCACTCTTACACTCTCTCTTCTGGTTCATCAGTGTATGAAGAAGACACCCTTTTTGTACCTAAGGACCTCGACAGGTATGACAGTGTTGGGCTCACGCTCGCCCTCCCGTGCTTCCTCGGGGCTCGCCCCCTCGCATCCCCCCTTAAATAGTCGCCTGTCTTCGCTTTCTCTTCCGTTTCTTCCGTTCCTCTCTGTCCGAGATCCAAACTCAATGTCAGATGCCCCCCTTCGGACGCTATAGGACTAACCTTGTGCTTCAATTGCTCTTCCCCAGATCTTCTCGAGGCGGCACTTCCGCTCCCCCTCTTCGCATAGATACCTCCGCCGCATACTGGCACGGGGAGGACGACGAGGAGTCCATCTACACCGCTCAATTCTCGAATGGAACCCCATTGCACAACCGTCTTGTCAGCGAACCATTCATCCCTGTGCTCAACTCTCCGCCGGGCCACAAGCGCGCCCAAACTATGGCATTACGTCTATCATCCAGCCGCCCACCACCTTTGCACATCGAGTCCAGCGGTCGAACCGCATCGGCCAGCTCCCTGGACTCGAAACAGCCCAAGACCCCTGGGAACAAAATCAGCTCCTTCTTCGGCTGGAAAGCCGTCACCACATCGCCCAGCGCGGAGTCCTCGAGCACCGAGATCTCGGATTCGGGCCGGTCCCCTCTCCCATCTCCGATGCCTCCTTCAATGCCCACCGCCTCCTTCTCCATCACCCCCTCGACCACAGTACCATTCGATCCCACCCGGGTACCGGCCCGCAACCCCTCCCTAAGCGGCGCCAGTATCCTCGAGGCCGCGTCAGCCTCGAAGCTCGCGGATCTCGAAAATGAACTTCGCGAGATCAGTTCCGAGCTGGCCGGTTCCATCCGGCGGGAGATGGAACTGGAAGATTTGGTGGAGAGGTTGCAATCCGAGATGCCGCAGGACGCCAACCGGCGCACCAGCGACTATTTCTCCGACTCCGGAACTAGCTCTATACGATATATATACGACGCCAACGGAAAAATTGATGACTTGGACAAGTATCGGCGAGCAGCCGAGCAGGAACGTGCACAGCTCAAGGTTGAGCTGTCGCAGAAGTGGCAGGAAGAAAGAGCCCGTCGGGCCGCAACCGAGTCTCATGTTCAGATACTCGAATCACAAGTAAACCAAGTATGTTTTCCGTTCTGTCGGCTTTGGCTCAGCTAATGTGGTCAGTTACGACGAGAGAGAGTCGAGTCTTCCGATCTATCGTCCAAGGCTCGGGAACTCGAGATTGCTCTGGAAGATACCCGCAGAAAACTGGCTGAGGAACGTCAAATCAAGGACAACTTTGAAGATCTCTTGACGGCGATGCGAGTAGAGCTGGAGCAGTTGCGAAACGAGCGCGACCATCTTCGGGATAATGTGATTCCTCAATTACAGCAGCAACAGCAACAGCCGCCACAGAGCACACCCGCCCCCGAGTCCTCGGAGATTCAGCGATTACTCGGCGAGATTGAGGCTCTGAAAATCGAGAATGCCTCGCTGGCTCAACTGCAAGGCAGTCGATTTGCGTCGATCGCCGAAGAAGGTGGTATGCCCCAACGGAGACCCGCGGGACTGGGTCTGTCGCGGTCAAATTCGCTGGCACGGCACTCGAAATCGAGCGGTGCAGGTGGGCTGTCGCGGTCAAACTCGTTGTCTCGGTCAAATTCCGTGTCGACTAAGGATCGCCCGGATCGCGAGGCGTTGGCGGACCGTATGGAAGATGTGGAAGCGCAGCGGGATGCGCTGCACCAAGCCCTGCGGTATCTGCTTATGAGACAAGAACAGCAGGCTCGAGAGTACGAAAAGCGCTTAAAGATCATGGAGTTGGAGCTGGCTCGTACCCAGGAACTGGGCTCACCACGTAGATTGGGGTACGAACGCGAGGTGCGGAATCTCCGAGAGGAGGTGAACCATCTCCGCCAGCGGGCAGAAGATGCCTTGGAACAGAAGTGGCAATGCGAAAAGGGACTGGCAGGTTTGAAGATGGATTTGGACCGTGCCGAGCAGGAGACCACTTCGTTGCGTGTTCTGCTGCAGGAGCATGATATCGCGGTCCCGGAGGGACTCGAATCCGAACGTGACGGCTTCGCCGAGGTCATCGCGACCTCTTCGTCTCTGGAGATGGCATACAAGCAGTTGCAGGCGGAACGGGAAGTCATCGAAGCCAGTGCTGCTCACTCTCCGCTGGTGGAGAGTGACGCCTTCGCGGCGTCCATCAGTCGCACAGAAGCACTGGCGAATCATGTGCAGCAACAGCTACAGAGGAACAACTCCCTGCGCAACCGCCTGGCCAAGGCGATTGGCAAGGGTGAAAAGGATCAGCAGCTGTCGGCGGCCCGGATCAACGAGCTGCAGGCCAGACTCAAGGAACTGGAGGAGACGCTGCTGATGGCGCAGCAGCATTCCGAGGAGGAAATGGCGCGGCACGAGGAGGAGATCCGCAACCTCGAGGCCAGCCACAACGCGCAGCTGATGCGCGTGAAGAACGGCTCCCGCAGCCCGGCGGCACTATCGCCAAAGCCGCCCAGCTCACCGTTTGGTGCGCGCTCGCCCCGTCTGGACAAGACGACCAGCGGCGAGGGGATCCCGCTGAACGAGGCGATCCAGGCGCAGACACTCGAGAAGCGGGTGAAGGAGTTGGAGAAGCTCCTGCGGGATGCAGATACGGAGATGGAGGAGGTGGTCAGTCGGATGAACCGGGCCCAAATCGAGGTGGCCGAACTGCAATCTGACCGGTACGTGTCTCTATAACTGGTCTGAATACGAGATAGCTAACTGTTTGCAGCGACGAAGCACTCCGCCAGACTCGGAAACTCCAGGCAGACATCCAAGCCGAGCGAGACGCGTTCAAGGCCTTGATGGCCCAATAATTTAATCTTTAATGTATATACCATGGTGTTCTTCTGCTATATTCCCAGACGATGTCAGCGTGATCAAGACACGAGGATGATGTATCTTCATGTACATAACTAGAGGAGTATCAAGTTATTAATGAGCGTTGATCACCTGTAGCGTGGAGATAACTCCGCAACTGCCCACTGTGTATTCTTCTGTATTGTTTGCTTTGTTTGTTTCACATGCTTTATCTATCAGCATCCACGCGATTTGTCCTTTCTCGGAGTACAACAAGCCAACTAGCATTATCATCTGCATTTCTTCTACCAGCGTCACTGACATATTTACCTCTACTTCCGCCTAAGCTGATCCAAACCTCCGGGATAGACCGGTGATACCAAAAAATGGAATACTACCTCCCAGGTCCGCCACCCCATCCATAACACCCCCCAATCTATATATCTAGTAGAAGACGAAACCCAACTGACAGAAAAAAAACAGACTACCTAACCCCCCTGCTCACAAACCCCACCCTCCAACACCTCCGCAGCCACGCCACAAACTGGTCGTCGTCGTTGTCGTTCAGCAGCATTCGCACCACCTACCTAGAGCCCTACCTCATAACCCCCCTCTCACGGCTCCTCGCGTCCTCGACCCCCGATTTGGTGTCCGTGCTACTTCTCCTCGTTATACTGGTCGTCTCGCTCAAGGTCCTGGATTATGCGCGCCGGGTGGTCATGTTCTGGGTGATGCTTGCCGTGAGGGTTGTGTTTTACGGGTCGGTCGTTGCGCTGGGTTGCTATGTTTATAGTGTTGGGGTGGAGAAGGCGGGAAGGGATCTGGGGTGGCTGCTGGGTGTGCTTTGGGGGTTTGTGGAGGAGGTTCTTGCGGGCGTTGAGAGTGGGAGGTCTCCGTCTGGCGGTCCTGGGGCCGGTGGGTATGGATATGGATATGGATATGGGTATAGGCGGGAGGCACCCCGGGGGTATGGGGGGAGGGCGAAAAAGGGGAGGTGATTCTTTTTTTGTGTCTTGGTTGTTGGCATTGGGCATTGTGGTCATTGGGTTGGAGGGATACGGTACGGCACGGTACGGCTAGGCTGGCCTTAAGCTACAGTTACGACGTTATGCATAATGTTCATTTCATGTCGTTCATGTCACGTTATTTCATTTTCGGGTGTAGGTATTATGTATGCGCTGGCGCGACGCGGGATGTACAGTCTCTGGTCTGGTTCCTGAGCTGTGCTCTGTTCTCGCTGCTTTGGCGAGTAACAAGCCGGCGGGCCTGCCCTGATGCGATGCCTGATGCGATTCGACGGTGATACGCACATCGGCTGACGAAGTGCAGACGTCGATACGTCGGTGGTTTTTCTGTGTCGTATGGTGAAGGTCGTAAGGCGTATGTTGTGAGTGGACGAGGTGAATATCAAATATCGGCATCCTCGTAGTTCACGTCCTGCTCGTCGTTTGGCTCCCGCGGCTCCTGTGCCTCATGATACTGGATGGCGTCGTCGATATGGCTCAGCACCGCGGCCACACTGTCCTCATCCTGAACGTCCAGCTTCAGAAAAGACACCATGCTGAAATCGTCAATCAACTGCCCCACGGCCCGGTTCAACCGCTTGAATGATCCCCCACTCAGCAGAGTATCCTTGGAACTGGGGTCTCCCTCGACTGGCTCTTCTGCATCCCCGACCTCGTCTTGTAATAAATTCACATCGACATTGACGAATCGCTTAAGCTCCTTCCGCGACACCATATCCCGCACCTGATCCATTTTGCTCAGAATGTTCACATGCGGCATCTCCAGCATCAGCATCGCAGACATGGCGCTGAGCGTGCCCGCGAAAAACTTGGCCTTGTCTATGACAAACGTACTCTCCAGTAGATACGCCGCACACAGGTTGATGTTCAGCGGCCCCTGTCGCGAAAGATACTGCACCAGCGACGGCAGCAGCGGAATATGCGTGTAGAGCTCAATCTGCCCCGGCATGTCAAAGATGATCAGGTACTCTTCGCTCAGCGGGTCCAGTGCCTGCGACAAAAAATCCAGGTTCTGCAGGAGGAATTCAAAACAATAGATCAGCCCGCCATTGGGACCCAGCTCCATCTCCTCCATCACATCTTCCAACGTGATCAGCTCGCGGATGTCCAGATCAGGCTCGTAATTGAAACTTTCGGCGGCGGGGTCGAGATTCACATAGAAGCAACTTCGGCGCGTGGTCTGCAGATGCTGGATGAGGGCACTGCAAAAGGTTGACTTGCCGGCGCCTGCCGGGCCCATGACCAGAACTCCGAATTTGGACATTTTGTGTCGGTTGTGTATATAAAAGGTTATACGCGGTGGAAAATGGATGCGCTCGGCGGGTTATTCGGTTAGTACATCGACTTGCGGGACACCATCCGTAATCTTCAATAGTCCTATGCACGCTAACTGCGCACTAACTAGAAAGTATTATTGGACAGTGAACTAAAGACTGCTGTCAGCACTGTCAAGGTACCCCAAGTAAGACTGATGCTCAGCCACCAGCATCAGCACCGATTGGATGCATTCGGACTCCGGATGAAAAGTGGGAGAGCGTTCCTCTTTTCTGCCTCTGGTCACCGCCGGAGCAAGATGGCGCCATCGGGGCCTCATTAATACGGCCAAAATCCCCTCCTCCTTTTTCCCTCTCCCCCTCCATCCATTTTTCATATCCATCCACTTCCCCCCTCCTCTTTCTGTACTTATCTCTCCAGTCTATCTACCTTTCTTATATCCTCATCTCTCCTCTCCTTTTTCTTCCTTCTCTCCCTTTCCCTCATTTTAAATCATAATCTCAATTCACAATGGGCAGCGTCGCGAAGTCTAACACTTTCCTCTTCACCTCCGAGTCGGTCGGTGAGGGTCACCCCGATAAGATTGCGTGAGTTCTGCCCCTCTTATGATATATGTGTCCTATACGAGTCGCAAATTCTCATTCCCTTCAATTCATTCAATCCATCTGACAATTGAACAGTGACCAGGTCTCTGATGCCGTCCTCGATGCCTGCCTTGCTGAGGACCCTCTCTCCAAGGTACATTCCCCCCCCTCCCTTTCAGAAAATTTTCTCCGCTTTGATTGGATCGGGCCCATTTCCGCCAACTTTTGCCCTGCGAATCAATCAATGGATGTTGACTTGTCTCCGTATAGGTCGCTTGTGAGACTGCTACCAAGACTGGTATGTTAATTATTTTCATGTCTCTCAATTGACGTCTTGTGCTAATTCTGCTCAGGTATGATTATGGTCTTTGGTGAAATCACTACCAATGCCAAGCTGGACTACCAGAAGATCATCCGTGGTGCCATCAAGGACATTGGTTATGATGACTCCGAGAAGGGTTTCGACTACAAGACCTGCAACGTCCTTGTCGCCATTGAGCAGCAGTCCCCCGACATTGCTCAGGGTCTCCACTACGATGAGGCTCTTGAGAAGCTCGGTGCTGGTGACCAGGGTATCATGTTCGGTTATGCCACCGACGAGACCCCTGAGCTCCTCCCTCTCACCCTCCTGCTCTCTCACAAGCTCAACGCTGCTATGACGCAGGCTCGTAACGACGGTTCCATCCCCTGGCTCCGTCCCGACACCAAGACCCAGGTCACCGTTGAGTACGCTCACGACGGCGGTGCCGTCAAGCCCCTGCGTGTGGACACTGTCGTTGTCTCTGCTCAACACAGCGATGATGTTTCCACTGAGGAGCTCCGTGCTGTCATCAAGGAGAAGATCGTCAAGAAGGTCATCCCCGCTGAGCTCCTGGACGACCGCACCATTTACCACATCCAGCCCTCTGGCCGCTTCGTCATCGGTGGTCCTCAGGGTGATGCCGGTCTCACTGGCCGTAAGATCATTGTCGACACCTACGGTGGCTGGGGTGCCCACGGTGGTGGTGCTTTCTCCGGCAAGGACTACTCCAAGGTCGACCGTTCCGCTGCCTACGTCGGTCGTTGGATCGCCAAGTCCCTTGTTCACGCCGGCCTTGCCCGCCGTGTCCTTGTCCAGCTCTCCTACGCCATTGGTGTCGCTGAGCCCCTCTCCATCTTCGTCGAGACCTACGGTACCTCTGAGAAGTCCTCGGATGAGCTCGTCGAGATCATCCGCAAGAACTTCGATCTCCGCCCCGGTGTCATTGTCAAGGAGCTCGACCTTGCCAAGCCCATCTACTTCCAGACTGCCAAGAACGGTCACTTCACCAACCAGAGCTTCCCCTGGGAGAAGCCCAAGACTCTCAAGTTCTAAATGCGTCGTCAGAGACCGCGTAGAACTTGTTGTCTTTTGTTTTTTGACGAATGTGATGAATTTGCTTTGTTTTCAACAACTCAAAGCATGAGAGCATAGACATATTTCGAAAAAGCCTTTTCTTTTCTTCGGACCTTTTGCTTTATTGATATATCTGCATGGTCTCCTGCAAAAAGGAGGCTGGTTTGGGCGAGGATAAATTCAACATGATACCACTTTCATCTATTGGGCAGGGATGTTTTCGGCGTTTCAGGGAGCGGAAGTCTTCAACACATGCCTCCTCCGAGGCCATCTACTAGACTACGAGCGCTATCTGGCTAGATCAGCCTGTAGCACATGGATCCATGTGCTCCGGATGATGTCTCCTCGAAGGAGAGATGTCGGTGGCCAGTTGAAAGGAGCTTGGTCTTCTTCAACCGTTGTCTCGAGCTAATCTAAACATTAGCTATATAGAATAATCCATGATACATTTATTCACATCTTCTTTGTAATTGATTTCTTAAAAAGTTGACGTGTAGAGAGGTAGAAGATCTGTCATTTTACCCAAAGAGGAAATCGGGAATCGTGAAAGCCATAGCACTTAGCGATGTCGATAATTCGCATTTAAAATCGCAAGACAAGAAGACAGCATAAGACAGTCAAGGTTTGTTTTACAGTTCATTATACTGTCCTCGACATGCAATCAAGCAGACTCGACATTCTGGCTGTTGTCGCTGCAACGAGACGCGTGACGGACGCCAAGCTTGTCTTCGCGAATCGCGACAACTGTGAAGGACCTTCCCCACCAGCCGACCGTTTCTGTCATCCTTCAGACATCGAATCGGCAATTGTTTCAATTGTACTCAGTCCTGTTAAATTCATTACTTCTCATATCTATTCTACAAGACCATCCTCCTCTAATGTCAAGAACATAATGCATGATTCCCGATAGACGCGTCCATGGCCTCGCGTCGCTCCTCCGGCGTGCTCGAAACCCTCAGCTCTTTCTCGCTGAACAGACTCCATGAACCCTCTACCACTCATCCTCCCTTGAAGAAGCGAAAGACATACCACGCAGCTACAGGGCAACTCTCCCGACAGGCCATCAGTATCAGGGTGAGTTTCACATTGCAATAGCAGCTACAGAAGCATAGCGTTCGTTAACTGGCGCCGATGTAGGCCCACGCCGCAGCTTTATCAGACGACCCCTACGTCCTTGAACCCATCGCCGTCGTCCCGCGATCCCGGCTACCGTTCTCATGGCTCGATTCACCCGCCGCATTGTCGCAGATCCAGAGCGGAAGTTTGTTCGTAGCCAACATTCCTCTTTTGGAGGAGGGTCTGCAGACTCGCACTGAGCCGTGCGTTCTGGCTGTGCGGTTGCTTCCTGATGGGGAATTGTACGCTGTTGAGCGGGTGAAGAGGGGTATCTATGCTCTGTCGAAGCTGGCTCGTGGTGTGGAGGAGGGAGATATCTTTGTTGCGGTCAAGGGATGGAACGCTTCTACCGGGTGCGGCGAGGGGATTCAGCCCGACCTCCCGTTGGAAGCAGAAAATGGAGAGGACTGGTGGCAGCAGGCCAAAATCGAGGATCCAGCATCCGTTACTCCGCCGTCTGCCAAGCGCGCAAAGTTCGATGTCTCGCTTGTCTTTAATAAGGCGGCAGTTGATGCTCGAGCTGACGGGACATTGAAAGAGATATCCCCAGTGGATTCGCTTGAGCAGAGGCCCTCGATGGCTCCTCCTGCACTGCCAATGGAGCGGAGTTCGAGCTCAGACATGCAGATGCCGTTTGTGCTGCACGATTCCCGGAATGCTGATGGTGCTGTGTTCGGGGACGTTGTTGCTAATGCGGACACTCGGCCCGCTGATCCCTCGCAATCTCCGCAAGAGCTGCTGGATGCTATGAGAGAGCACTACCTGCAAGCTCTCTACATCTCCAAGGTTTGTATCTCTGTTGTCTTTGTGGTCTATGTGCTAATTTTCCCAGACTTCTGTGGCATATTTCGCCAAAGGACCTCTGGCACGATGCCGCGCCGCCTTCCAGGCATTCGGGTCGTATTCTACTAATACACCTAGACATCTCGCAGAGTTCTATCGAGAGGCTATTCTGGCCGCAAAGAAGATGGATCTGAAATATCGTGAAACTCTGCCTTCGACCATCCGAGATGTTCTTTTGAGTACGTCAGATGATGACGCGCGGAAGAAACGCAAGAGCAGGAAACGAAAGTTGGGCAAGAACGGACTCTACCCAGAAGAGGAGGGTTTCATTCGCAAGTGGTGGAGAGATCGGGCTCTGGCGGACAATGGGGTTCCTGCAGAGTCGTCGCGCGACGCAGAGCTCAAGAAGCACATCGCGGACTTGCGACTACGAGAGACACAGTTGCAAATTCTACTCATTTTGGAGACGTTGGCCCTCGAGATGAATGGGCCTGGTGAGACATCAAAGACGGACGATTCTTCCGAAAAGCCGTCGGACGATACCAGAACCAAATCGAAGAAAAAGCCACAGGATTTGGATGTGCTGCTCGAACTGCACCTTGACCGGTTGTGCATTTGGCATGCCGTCAGTACCGATGACACAGCCTTGGCGGAGTCCGCGAAATCCTTCGACAGTCAAACGGGTAAGAAGATCGAGAGCGATGCCGTCCGGGACTTTTGCACCGAGGTCATTGTTCCATTCTACGCTTCGCGTCTGCCGGACAGATGCAAGTTGATCACCCGCAAGCTCGGTGTCTCTGGCGCGATATCGCCTTTGGCCACACAGTCCAGCGGCACAAAAAAGACGTCTCGCACCGAGCCTGGGAAGCCCACTGAGCGGCAGTCTTCTCAGAGACATCCGCGTCGATCCTTGCAGCGGGTGCTCACCGACCAGCAAACGGCCTCTCAAGGACGACCCCCGTCTCTGGGACGCTCCAACACTGTGCCGTCGCAAGCAGAGGCCAAGCGCGAGTCGATGGAGCCGCTGCTGCCGGTGCTCAGCGTCAGCGCGAGAGGAGGCATCCAGAAGCCGAAGCGGGCGGAAAACCGCGAAGTGGATCTGAACGCGGTGGCTCGTCAGCACGAAGCCAAGCTAAAGAAGGTGCAAATGCTGATGGAGCAGAAGAAGGAGCTTGACGCGGCGATCAATGCCCTCCGCAAGCCCAATCGCGAACTGGTTGCGAAGGATATCGCAGAGGATGCAGTCAAGCGGGCATCAGGCGGCAGCTCAAGGAAACCAAAGAACCCCGTCCGCAACCCGTTCGGGCAAGGCGTGCAGGTCATGGCGACCCCGAAGGGAAACCGCAAGAAGGACGCCGTCATGGGGTTGGCTCCGCCGTTCAAGAATGTCGTGCGGTCGTCGGCAAGTAAGAACGGATCCTCGCCATTTGCGAGTGAGCCACAGGTGGTTCCAGCATCTACACTCCGACCCAGCTTCATCTCCAATACTCCGGCGTCTGAGTCTATGGCTGCTCCTGGTTCGGGTTTGGGGGATATGGGTGCCATCCAGGAAACGCCATCTCGCCGGCCGGCGCAGTCTTTGGGACTGATGGACACCGCGACGGACGACACATCCCCGGGCGTAGCGAAGAACTTATTCCGGGTCCCCCGACGCCCGATCCCTAAATCCACCGACGTCGCGCCGTCCACGCCGATTGCACCGCGATCCGCCGATCAGGCCATCGGCGTCAAATCATCTACGGTGGTGGAGACACCGCCGAGGCCAGCCCCTGTCGTCCAAGAAAGCATCCCTGGCGCCTCCCCCGCAGCCGTGCTCACCACACCAGTGAAGAGTAGCGCCAGACTGGCTGTGCCGGTCGTCTCGGCGGTGCCTGTGACGCCGGAGAAATCTATTTATGAGCAATTGGGATGGGACGATGATCTTGCTTGATTTGTTTCGGTGTTTTGTTTCGGTGATTTGTTTGCGGCGGCGTTCTCGTTCTTCGGTACATTCGGCGTTTTCCTCATTCTTCGGTGTTAGGCTGCATGGTATGGTGTTATATATGCTAGTCACTTGCATTTTTTTTATTGAAGTACAGTAGAAGTACAGTGAAAGAATGCCAAGTCATGCATGTACATCAAACTCTACTGTATAATCCTACAAGTACAGTACTTTGACCTGCACCCTTGAAATCATCATCCAATCAAGTCGCTCAACCAGAGCATGCACTATGATAGCTTCGAACCGTAAGACGTGATGACTCGACTGAAATGATCGTGAGATGAGGCGAAGCAATATTTCTCCGCACGGAGTAGATACTCACGGAAAAATCCTACCTTACTCAGGTCTCAGGATTTATAACCCCACATGGGACGAAACAGTCCGCAATCCGGATTGTGGAGGCCGGAGACGGAGACGGAGACGGAGACGGAGACGGAGACTTGGAGTTGGAGGAACGATGGTGAGGCGATGTTGATCTGTGGAGTAATGGACTTTTGACTTTGTTCGGAACTTGCTGGGCGACGACTGAGATCGTAAGATTAATATTATTGGTTTGAGACCTAGGAGCTGACGACTAGGTCCTTGGCTGGATGGACCCCGGAGAATCGGATAGTACGACTACGGAGTACGGAGTATGACTCGTTGGGTGACTTGGGACTTGACAGTTTGAGCGGTAGAGGAAAGAGTCTGTTGGTTTATGATTTTTATATTATCATATATATACTTGCCAGTAATGCATGGCTAATAGATACAGAAACAGAACCCCGGCCAACTCCGTAAGATCCTCGTCAAGAGGTATGCTGCGCCTAATGCTTGCCTGCTTCCCCGTTTTTGAACTGAAAGAGAGTGTCGTAACGTCGTAAATTCGTGATTATAGTGTTGTGGTGTATTAAGATGGGAGAGTGACAGAAACTTTTGTGTCCTGTTCGTCGGTGTCGACAGAGTAACAGAGTAGAGTGTAGAAGAGTGAGGGTAATGCGAACCGGTTACCCGGCGATGCGAACAGGTAGACAGGGCCCACGAGCAGGCCAGAAATGTTTCATCTGGACTGTCTTTTCCAGACAACTGCGGCCTTTTTCTAGGAGACTTTCTTTTTCTT